GTTGTCAATATTTCTTCTTCCATTTTAAGTTATCAAGTTTCAAAATGAATATTTTTTCTTCCATTTATTTTTCTTTTTGATTTTAGCTTTTGGTACTAGTTAGTTGTTAGTGTGTGAATTCATTGTGAATTTTTATTTTATTTTATATAGATGGCTGAACAAAATCAATTAAATATGGGTGTGGCTAGTCAAATTTGAATAAGTATGGCTGATTCTACGAATAATACACCTACTAATAGCAATGGTGCGTCAATTGGCACAAAGGAAACAAGAAAAAGAAAAGAAATGGATCCTAGATCTCCTGTTTGGCAACACTTTGATTTTTTTTTTGAAAATGGTGTATTAGTTAAAGCAAAGTGTTTACATTGTAAACAAAACTATGCTGCTAATACAACTAGAAATGGAACAAGTGGACTGAGACAACATTTGACAAACCGATGTAAAGTGTATAAGCCCCCGCCTGTTGCACCTGGTATTCAAAAATTGTTAAATATTCAAAGTAACAGTTCTTCGATAGAGACTTGGAATTTGAGCAAGAGGAAGCTAGGAGAGCTTTAGTTGAGATGATAATTTTGGATGAACTACCTTTTAGTTTTGTTGAAAAAGAAGGATTTAAGAAGTTTATGGGTAAAGTTCAACCTTTGTTTCAGATTCCTTCTCGTAGAACCATAACAAGGGATTCTTATGAAGTTTATGGTGAATTGAGAATAGATTTGAAAAAGTCTTTAAGAGAAATACAACCAAGAAATTGTCTCACAACAGACACATGGACTTCGGTGCAAAGAATCAATTATATGTGTTTGACTGCTCACTTTATTGATAGGGATTGGGTGCTTCATAAAAGAATATTGAATTTTTGTCCTATCACTAGTCATAAAGGTGAGCATTTGGCTGAGTGTATTAGTAATTGTTTACTTGATTGGAATTTGGACAATGTCTTTACTGTTACGGTTGATAATGCCTCTTCAAATGATGTGGCGGTTTTAGAGTTGTCCAAAAAATTAGATATGTGGGAAACTAATATGATGGATGGTAAGGATCTTCATGTGAGATGTATGGTTCAAATACTTAATTTGATTGTGCAAGATGGTTTGAAAGAAACTGGCCCTTCTATCAAACGAGTGAGACACATGGTGAAATATGTTAGATCATCTTCTACAAGGACAAGAAACTTCTTGAAATGTGTTGAAATGCAAAAGATAGAATGTGACAAAATGTTGTCTTTAGATGTGCCTACTAGGTGGAATTCCACCTATTTGATGTTGGACACAGCAGAAAAATTTGAGAAGGCTTTTGAGAGGTTTGATCTTTACGATGGTAATTTTAATTATTTTCTTGCTACTGATGTTTGTGAAGATGGAACTATTGCAGGTTCAATTCAAAATGAGGATTGGACTAATGTGAGGAATGTCACAAAGTTTCTTGAAAAATTTTATGAGCTCACACTGAAAGTTTCAGGTTCACGGTATGTTACTTGTAATGTTCATTTTGAGGATATATGTGAGCTTGATGCATAATTGAAAGTATGTATGACAAGTGATGATGTTGATTTGAGTAAAATGGCTATGGGGATAAACGAAAGATTCAAGAAATATTGGGGTACTCCTGAAAAGATGAACAAAATGCTTTTTATTGCTTTTGTTTTGGATCCTCGCAATAAATTTGTGTATGTTAGTTTTTCTCTTGAAGAATTACTTGGGGAAGAAAAGGAAAGATAGTGAATAATGAAGTAGAGGCATACTTGAAGAAATTGTTTGCGATCTATGTAAGTAAGTATGAAAAAGGTTCTAAAAATCAATCATCTTCGTTTGACTTATCTGATTCATCTACTTGTGGTCTTTCTCAAAATGTGAAAACAAATTCTTTGAGAACTAAGTTTTACATGAAGAAACAAAAGGAAGATTCTGGAAGTTTAGGTGTTAAATCTGAGTTGGATAGGTATCTTCTTGAAGACCAAGATCCTGAATATGAGGATTTTGATATTTTGATTTGGTGGAAAGTTAATTCTCCTAGATTTCCTGTACTTTCACAGTTGGCTCGAGATGTATTGGCTATTCCTATGTCGAGTGTGGCATCGGAATGTGCATTTAGCACCGGTGGCCGTATTCTTGATCCCTTTAGAAGTTCATTGACTCCCAAATGTGTGCAATGCCTTATTTGTGTCCAAGATTGGCTTAGACAAGAAACTAAGCCTATTTGTGTTGAAGAAAGTTTGGAGTTTCTTGAAAAAATTGAACTTGGTAAGACTTTTTATTTTTATTTGTTTTTGGAAAAAATAAAATACTTATTGTGTTGTATCTTGTATGACATATTTGATTTTATTATTTATAGAGATGGCAAATAGTGGAAGAAACTCTTCCATTGTTGATATATGATTAGCTTGCAAGTGGTGAGTTCAATACGTCATTTATTTAATCATATCATTTTTTTAATCTTAAAAGTAGTGTTCTAACATTTGATTTTATCTTAAAAGGTCCAAGAGTCAAGACAATGAAGAAAGACGTAAAGTACTAAGTTTTGTTAGTATTTTTGTTGGCACTTGAGACTTGAAAGTTGAAAGTGGTCTCATGGAAGAAAGTCAAGAAAACTCATTATTGTTGTTTGTTATTGTTGGCATTTGAAAGTGATCTCATGGAAGAAGGCAAGAAGCTACATTGTTTGTTGCTCATTAGTCATTATTGTTTGTTATTGTTGGCACTTGAAAGTTGAAACTTGAAAGTGGTCTCATGGAAGAAACTACATTGGTGCATGATTGTTACTTGTTAGATTGTTATTATGTTGTTGTGTAATGGCTTATGGCATGATCAATTGATCATTGTATTTGTAAAGACTTTAACTACAATGCACTTTTGTTTTAGTGACATTGTTAATTAAAAATTTGTGTGTTTTAGTGACATTGTGAATTAAAAATTTGTGGTGTTAATGCCTAATGGCAGATTGGCTGTATGGCACTTCGTTTTGACTTTTAATGTCAGCTTCTTTGGTGTTATTATAATTTACTACATAGATGCGAGCTTCTTTGGTGTTAATGCCTAATGGCAAATTGGACTTATGGTATCTTCTTTGGTGTTATTTTACAGAATATTGCAGCTATTATGACATAGCAATGTAACTATTTTTAGCCTATTAAGCTGAAAAATCAAACAAAAAAATTGTAAAATTTTAAAAAGCCCACTAGGCAGGCCCATAAAAAAAATGAACTAACAAAAATCTAACCGAAATAACATAAATCGAACCGAACCGAAATAATTCGGTTCAGTGTTCGGTACACGCTGTACAAGAACCGAAAACCGAAAAAAAAAAACTGAAACCGAACCGAATTACCGAATGCCCAACCCTAATTTTGCGATTGTTTTTTAGTTAATTAGGGCAGATTGTTTAGGATTTATAGTATTGGAATTGAAAAGGGTGGCGTATGTGGTGGTTTTGGGGTGGTGGGGCGGGCTGGACAACCTCGAAAGGAGGCCGTCCAGTGGCCGTAGCAGCAATGAGAGTTGCGCAACTGTTGGCTAGGAAACCACCTTATCCGGTAAGTTACCTAACAGAACTTGAAACTTTGGCTCATTTTCTTTATTCTTTAACCTGGGTCTGACTGCTTGACTCACCAACCTTCCTAGGTCACTTTTTTTTAAAGGAATTTTACAACGTTAAATAAATTTAAAAAAATATTAATTAAAGTGACCAATGTTAGAATCTCTATTGACTTTTTTTTTTTTTGACATGAACTTAAATGTCACGATCCAAGGTAGACCCTAGGTGTAACATGACGTATAGAACCCCGAGAGGCCCTACACAAGCCACTTAGCATATATAAATAAGATAATAGAAATTCAAAAGAATTTAAAAGATAGTTTACATCATAAGAGCGTTGTGAAAAACGAAGCGGAAGTCAACATAGTTTCAATAGCCATCTATTACATAAAGAGTGACTAGGACTCACCACTACTAAGTATGATCAAGGTGACTCCTAGTCACGGGGATGAGAAGTTGGAGCGTTGGACCCTACATTTGTATAAGAATGTAGGCAAGAGTATGCGTTAGTAAAAAGATGTACCAAGTATGATAGCAATGCATAGAGATATAAATCATGCTAAAAAGGACTTTTTCATGCTCATGCAAAGACCAAGTTAAAACCATAAGAAAGAGGTTATTTATTAAAGTTTTTAAACATAATCAAAATTAAATCAAATACTATTGGTCTTTCAAAATATAAAACAAAACCAAAGCAAATCCAAATAAAAACCAGTTTATTTAAACGATTTGGTTCAATTTTTTGGTTTGGATTGGTTTTTATCTAAACAATGAACACCCTGGTCATTGACCTTATAAAAAAAAGACTCATTTATGTCCTTCGTTAAAAAATTGGCTCATAATAGCATGAATATTGGATAGGAACTTAATGTTGCGACCCGATTTCGAAAACCAAGGTTTCAAAACCATTTTCGCAACTTTGGCAATTTTGTTAATTTTTGGAAAAATGAGTAATTTGGAAGTCGCCAAAACCATTTAAAAAAGGGTTTTTGAAAGAAACAATTTAAATAAAACCAGAGTCGGGTAAGGGTTCAAATAATTCTCCGAGGAAGGGTTTAGGCATCTTAGAGAATCCGCTAACACGCGGTTGACCAACGGATTTAAAAATTGGCTAATTTTAAAAGAAAACTTAAATTGCTTGAAAAATCTTATTTATTTATTTTTTGATAAATGAGAAATCTTTTGATACTTGTACATTCGTATTATCCCAAATAATGAAATAATTCAAATGTTAAAGTGCCAAAATAAAATTTTAATTTAACAATATATCCGAGTCAAGTTTTTGAGTCGAATAATCAACACAATCACTTAGGCATGGATTTGAATGCTAAATACTAACTATAAAAGAATATAGATAATTCTCAAGTTAGTCTTGAAGCTTTGATTACATGAATTAAAAATGTTTGAAAATTTAAATACTTGAAGCAAAATAAGTAACAAAATAGAAACTTCCCAAGGATTCATCTTAATTAGATATAAGAAGAAAGTGTTAGCATTTCTAAAACAAATTAAGAACATAAGTCAAGAAAACAAATAACAAAAATCTGGCCACTTGGCCTAAATGCTCTTTGTTGCTGCCGATCTAACTGGACTTTTCAAGTCCGAAAAGAATCCAATTTTCAGCCCTTCAGGGACTGCCGCCATCCTACTGGTTTCTCTGGGTTTAAACCCAATTTTGTTCCTCCTTTTTCGGCCATTTTGAGGTCTCTGCTACTGCTGGTCATTTTACCAAGCTTTTAAGTCCAAAATATTCAAATTTCAGCCGTTTAGGACTGCTGTCAACCTGTCACTGTGCTGCTGTTTTTTTTGGGTCTCAACCCAATATATCAGCTTCCCTTTCGTAACTTGGTAGAGGTTGATTCGGAAAAGAAGAATATGCAATAGGTGGGGAATCCAAATGGACTCAAACGAGTGTCACATGAAAAGAAAAATGAGGGAAAGGAGGATTAGCAAATAATCAAGAAAGGAATGGTGATGGCTCAAACAACATTTAACAAAGTAAATCGAATCTATCAAACGAAGAGGAAAATCAACAGAAACAAAGAAAACAAATTTCAATGGCTACACATTTTATATTTTTCATGTTCAAATTAAGAGAAGAAATAACCACAAGCTTTAGTCATGGATTTAAGCAAGAGAAGATCAGCAGGTAGACAAGGAACGAGACAATTTAAACGATTCGCTATAAACTTTAAATTTTACATCGGCAAACAGAGAAACAAAAGATCAAGTCAAAAATTTTAGTTAACACAAGAGACATTTGGCCAAGTAAATACGCTCCTGGAAATAACAATGATTATAAAACTGTTGGAAGGTGAAAGTAACATGAATTCCCAGATCATAAGAACAAAAAGGAATCATTTTTAATTCTTGAGAGAACTGGTGATAGCTATTACGGCAGGTTGTGAATGAAAACATAAGAAAAATCCATAATTTATCTTCCAAATTCATAAACAGGCGACTAGATGCAGGAAAAAGGAATCAAGAATTCAAAGGCAATCATCAGATTTCACTCATAACAGAACATACTTCAGAAAATTACACACTTACATCAGATGACTATATGACCCAGCTATATCTATTTTATTTGGAAGTAACAAATAGGTCCATACTCGAGCGAAAGAAAGGAAAAGAGCTTCAACTTGAGCTGGGATAACTTTTAATCACAAGAACGACAATCAACTGCACCAAAACTGAGATTCGAACAAGCATGCTACGATAATAAAGAAGAGCTAGACGGAGTAACAATAATTTGGTTGTTTCGAACTATACAAGAAATTAGCCGAAAACACATTTTAGTGGCAGCGAAGCTTAACATAACATTTTAGTCTAAACAAACTCGAAGTGACAGAATATACAACTTATATCTTTAAGAAGGCAATGAAGAGAAATCGGCAACTATATTAACATGGATTTCAAAGTCGAATAAGAATAACAATAACTAAAGCACATATATAGATTTATGAGCTCGAGTAAGTAAAAGAATCACATTGTGACCTATAAATTATAAGAGAACAGCCATCAACAGATCAACAAACTTAATACACTTATTCAAAATTGACTTAACTAAGTGAACAAGATAATGAAAAACTTTTACTGTCCTTCACATAAACATCACATTAAACACATTGAATCTAAAAGACGATTAACAACACTAAAACAAACAACAATTTCACAATGCAACAGAAAGAAAAGACTAAAGAAAGAGCAAAGAGACTACCTAGTTCTGGGCAGCGAACTAAAACGACTAGTTGAGAATACGACTCCACCACCTCTTTCAATCCGAACTGCCAGAAAACCCACAAAGATTAAACTATTGAACCAAGATTTCCCAAACTTTTTAGGGTACTCTCCCGTTTCCCAAAAAACTCCCCCTTTGAACAGTGAAGAGAGAAGGGATTATATAGGACAATTTCTGGGTCGAAATTGAGGGGGGAAACGATGTGGGACTGCTGCAAATTTTGAAATTCTTAGAGGATAAGGTGTGAGCTGTAACGTACCATTCTCAACGGAAAAATTGACGAGGGACGCTTGATTTCGAGCAAGGACAAGTGAGGCGTCAAGATGGAGACAGCTGGAAAAATCGAGTACATTACTCATACAAGTCACAAGAGGATAAAGAGAGAGAGATGGGAAAGGACGGACACGCGCGGGGTCACTGGAATCGTTGTTTGCAGTGTTGCTGGACTGGGTCGCGATTTTGGACTGGTTCGATTTGGGTCGCGATTTCGCTGGGTTCTCGCGAGGAAGAAGACACTGGTGGGGTCGGTTGGTATGCGTTGCTGTTGAAGTTGTAATTTGGATGGGTTTCTGTTCAATTTGGAATGGGCTGGACTGTTATTAGTGCAAAGAAGGAATGAACTTTTGGGCTTAATTGGAAATGGCTGTTAAAAATAGAATTGGGTCTGGGAATATAGGAAGAAATAGGCTGAAATTGGTCTTAAAAAGGAAGCCTAGAATGTGGTCAATTTGACTTCAAAAAATAACCACATGAATTGCAATTTCGATCAAATTGAGGTGATTGGTTGATTTCGGCCAAAATTGAAATAAGACGAATTAGTATCGATTAATTACTGAGTTTCTTAATCCTAACGAAATAAAATAATTAACTTAATTATAAACTAAATAATTTAAAATATAAAGTATTATATAACTAAACTAATTAACCAAATATCTAATTAAAACAAAATCTTTTTGAGATGATTTTTGAATATTCATAAACTATACTAATTAAAATTATATACAAAGCTATATAAAACATATATATTACTTTAAAAATTATAAAAATTAAATAAAGTAACTTGAAAAATATTTTGAACTTTATAAAAACTAATTATATCAAATCGTTTGGAATTTAAGAAGCTCGGTGATTAATCTATTGTGGAGGTCCAAAATTGGGTGTCAACACATAATTTAACAAAAATGGCATAATTGAGTCAAACTTTTAACGGATGACATAGATAAAATCAAAGTTCAATGACATATTTGAGCCTTTTCCATTATTTAGATATAGCCTATGATTGAATGAAAGCAGGGACCAAAGCTGCAATACAAATCAACTTAATTGTGCTTGTTTGACATAGTTATTAATTCATTGTAAGACAATTCATGTAAGTCTCAACTTACAATCTATGCAACACTAGAGGAGCACCATATTTGGGTTGCATAGTTATTACAGACTGTGGAGCATGAGTGTACGAAGGAGATAGTTCAAACGCAAAGCGTTGCAGAATCATAGCCATAGTCATCTTCGCTTCTATCATTGCAAAGTTCAGTCCAATGCATATCCTAGGTCCCGCGCCAAATGGGAAAAACGTCATTTGGCCCTTTGTTGCCTTTGAAATGCCTTCACTGAATCTCTCTGGCTTGAACTCTGTTGCATCTTCGCCCCATATTTCCTTGTCATGATGCACTAAAATTGTTGGTAAAGACAGCATCACTCCTGCTGGTAAATTTAGTTCCCCTAGCTTCGTTTTAGTTGTAATCCTTCGACCAAGTGCACTAACTGGTGGATATAGCCTTAACGACTCGTGCAAAATCATTGTCACCTATTGTTAAAATGAGTTCAGCATTGAATTAGCATAGTAATAAGGAAATCAAGAACATAGAACCAAAGACTGATGGAGCCTATGTCGAACGGGGTCAAATGAATCTAATATTTTCCACAAACAATATAAACACACGCATACTCACTATTTGATTGGGCATGGAGTTAAATAGAAAAGAAGACTTTTAAAACTTGTGATCATAAATATTCCATGTTATTTCTATGGCTATAAAGGTGTTTCATCAAGGGTAATTGAAAAGTTAAAGATTAAAAGTGTCATTCTTATCTGAACAAACTAAAAAGACAAGTCTGTCACACAAAATGGAACAAATGGAGAGTGTCCGAGAGTGTAACAATGAGTTCAATGCTAAGAACCTAAGTTTAAATCCTTCATCCGAAGCTAAATAAAATTAAAACCATGTGTTGCGGAGATATAAAAATTAAAAGGAAGGTAAACAAGCTAAAATAACTTACAACTTTCAAGCGATTTAATCCATCAAATCCTGGCATGCCATCTCCAAAGACTTGCAAAACCTCTTCTCTTGCGCGAACTTGCCAATCTGGATGCCTGCTTAACAAAATCATAGTCCATACAAGCCATACAGAGGTTGTCTCTTGTCCAGCAAAATAGAACAACTTACACTCCTCAATAACCTCTTTTATAGTCATACCAAAATTCTTGTTACCGTGTTGCTCGATTTCTTTAAAGTTGGATTCCAACAATATGCCTAATAAGTCATCAGTATTGGCCTCCCCTGCTTTCATCCCCTTCACTCTTTTATCAATAATTCCCCTAATTGTTGCTTGAACTTCTCTCTCAATTTCCTTCATCCTTCTGTTTCTCTTAGTTGGCAAGAACCTACATTAGTTTAACACACAAAAACATGTATATCATCATCAATAATCACTATTTAAAACTTCTTTTCCTGTTATATTCGGATATATATAGATTATGGGAAAGAATGGTTTAAGTTATATACACACATAAATAGTTTTTACTTTATCAATGTGGGTGTATGAAGGAAAACATTTTCCGGAAAATGTTTTTCAATTTTCTCATGTTTGGTTGGATTAAATGTTTTGGAAAATGTTTTCCAAATCAACTTATTTTCCTCAAATTTAAGGAAAATGACTTCCCTTCAAAATTTAAGGAAAACATTTTCCAAAACTCTCTTCCAACTTTCAATTAAAAAAAAAATTGTTGAAAAAATCAATTTATTTGGTCCTTACCCTCAAACCAGCCCCCCTCCAACCACCCCCAAAAAAATAATAATTTAAAGTTTGTTTTAAATTCAATATTTTTACCCCACCCTCACCCCTACCCCCCCCC